AAACTGTGTACCGCATGGTTCGAAAACACCCCATTTTCCGGTACCCTGAACCTCAAAAAATCAGGTATAATGTCGTTTTCTAGACAAACTCTCAAAAATATAACACCTTGGTGACAGTTGGTAAATTTAACATATATGGACGCATAATTACGGACTTATTTCCAAATGAGTTTGTTTTTCAAAGTCCAAATCAAGATTGGAGGTGGGAGTACTAATAAATGATCGTACTAATAAATGATCGTTAAGGCCTCTAATTCTATTCTCGCGTTGTGCCGGTAGGTTGAGCTGTGCCAATCTGGCGGAATGGCACAATGATAAAAAAATTTCCGTATTCGTTAACAACTCTAATCATAATTTGACTTACACTTGTATACTTGAAAATATTTTTCAAATGGCTAATAAAGTGTTTTTAGCAAGAAGTTTTGAGCTTTTTCGACTATCTGGGAATACTGTTCTACGGAACGCACTGTATGTTTCATTCAAGTGGTCCGGTGGAAGGGACCACACCTGTAAATTAGATTTTTGAATGGGATTCTTTTAAAATGGCGTAACCATGCCTCTAAACGAGTAGACTTCTTTTTAGACGTATTATGGGTAGCAAAAAATCCTTGATTGAGCCGCGTCTATTAACCGATGAAGAAAATAGAACTCGAGCATCAAATGATGACTTTGTCAGAGCTAAAAATATATTTACTACAGAAAGGAGCGGCAAAAAATTGGGACAAATACAACCCAATTTTTCAAAGACAGACACTGGCTGCTTAGAGAATTTCAGCCCCTGCAAATATTATTAGCATCGAGCGAGCATACAATTTATTTCTTAGAAGTTGGATGTGGAGTTGGGAACGCGTTTTTCCTCTTATGGAAGCAGCCGGGAGTTCAGTTTTTGGGTTAGCTTGTGATTTTTCATCACGAGCGTTAGATTTCGTTCGCCAAAATGACCAATTCAATACAAATCGAATGTTTGCTTTCACGTGTGATATTGTTCAAGAAAGTATCATCAATAAACTAAAGGTGATTACTTCCGGGATAGACATAATGACAGTATTATTTGTGCTATCAGCACTTGACCCCAATGAGATGCAAAGAGCGCCCAAAAATTTAGCGGATGTTATGAAGTGTGGTGGAAAAGTTTGTGTGCGAGATTACGCCGTCAACGATTCTGCATCCTTGGAATTTTCTAGATATGGAAGTGATAATGATAAAAGAAGATGACACGTTTTTAAGTCCTTTTCAATTAAAATCGATCCGGGTTACGTTTCTTCAATAAGAACACGCAACTCGACACGAGAAAATATAATATACAAGTGTTACATATAAAAAATTTCGTCGAAAATTATTTTGTCATTTATTGTTCCGAGTACGCAAGCGGCGTTCGCAATCTGTATTGCCAGGGATATTCTCTGTTTTAAAAAGCTGCCTGCTCTGGGTTCCTCAGTGCGTATGCTTAGGTTCTTTCAAAGCTTGCTCAAAAAAAATTTTGTGCTGGGGCCGGCCGCGCCCTGAATTTCAAAAGCTAGCGGTTGAAAAAGATATCCATCATTTACAAGATCTTTATACTTGTCAATTTTTCGCTCTTCCGCTTCAGCGGCAACCGTACCAGGGTTACAAACAGAACCGGCATTAACATTAGAAGGAGCTAAGGAGTCTACTACCGTTACATCCCACAAGAGCTGCTTACCAACAGCCCATGGAACGAGCGTCAAACCGTATGGTCGCTTCTAATTGGTCCTGTAGAGGTGTCGTGGTTCTAAAATAGACGGAATGTGAGAAAATGATAAACTCTGCTTTATAAGGGCATTCAGGTTTGAATGCCTAGAGAATTTCCCTGCACTTTTGAGGCAAGAAAAACCATGCCAACCATCCTCGGTAACGTCTTTTCCGCACAAGAATTTATGCCGTTCGCATATTTTTGAGCCTAATTGAAGTCCTATCGCAATTCTGAGTTGTTGGTTGGACAGTTTTAAGCTTAAATTTTTGCACGGGATGACGGTCAACCATTGGGAGCCAAATCTATCTTGGAACGCGTTGAATCTTTTCACGTCCGTTGGTTCGAGTCGTAAAATCAAGTCTGCAATTTGGGTGTCAAAAATTGGCTCCGTTCAATTTTTTTGGACTTCATTTTCCGGAGCTATTTCATTTTTCCAAGTTCAAACCACCGTTTGAGCGCATCATCATAGGTTCCATCCACATGCTCCAAACCAAAGATTTTGCTCAAGGCATCTTTTGCTCCTACTGCTGAGGCTAAAAAAGAGGGTAAAGCGAGTAGACGAGCGGAAGAAACGCCCAAGTTACCTTTGGCTGCCGGGAAAACTGCTTGTAAAAACTGGTTATCATCCATTTTCACGTTAGTGACCCTGCATAACGAATATCTTAGTAATTTATCGTAGCGTTCCAAAAAATGATTTTGCAAAAAACAAGGGCTCGTACGCAAAAAATATAGGAGTTTTGGCATGCTAAAGCAATTTTTCAGGAGGTAAAAGCCATAATGGGCGTCTAGTTTGTCAATGACATCCGAGATTTTTTCAAGCTCCTTAATTTTTTCGTCGAGCAATTCTTTTCGGCAAAGTTCGCCGATTGCAGATCCTAAAATGAGGAGTTCCTCTTTTGTTTTTATTTCTATACTGGGGCATTTTTTTGAAATTGAGTTAAAAGTGAGTTTTACTGTGTACTAGTAGTCAGTCCCAAAAAACCAAGTTCGCACTTCTCAGTGTTCAAGCTCAGGCCGTAAATTTGTTCCGATTTCAGAATGTTTTTAAGGTCCCAGAGTACTACCTTATAGTCGTCGGCTAAATTCCCATCATCTAAACACCAGATGGTAATTTTCGACTCCAACTGTTCGACTAGTGTATGAATTGTTTCCGCAAAAAGGGGTGGGGCTTCAGGATCACCTTGCTGAGTTCCGTCTTCTGACATTATGACAGAGAATCCGTAAAAGAGGTAACTAGGTTTACCATACGCGCAATGGGTGTAATTATACAATTCGGGGCGATTTGAATGAACATGATTCAGCATTGTTTCTCTGTTTAGAGAGTAAAAGGCATTCTTAAAATCTAGTTTTAAAAGAACAGTGCATTTTGGATTGTCGTCGCGTCCAATTAGGTTTCGAAACGAGTGCTCAGCTATTTCTGCTCCTCGTTTGGTACCGTATCCTACCTGTACGTTTCCGAAAAAAAATTTGTCGCTCGGAGAGGGCCTTGCTTCCAGCGCAATTAGACGCGATACGTCTCAGCGGGTTGCCTAAGGCAATCGGTCTCAGCCCTCCGTCTATCTTTATGAGAGCGATAAGCTTTGCGCCAAAAAAGAAACGTCTTAGTGGTTCGGGTATGTTGCCATCTCCAATGAGGTTTATCAGCTTAGTAAGCGATTTCAGAAATTAAGTCCTCCACTGCCATTCGACTTACTAACAAGATCTTTAAAAATTTGAGGAACTATTTTATCAGGACCTGCTGCTGATCCGTTCGGAAAGGACATTATTGCTTTGTATAGGTCGAAATCGGTCACGAAAAAACTATCCAACTTTTCTGGATTTGGAGCTGCAAATTTGGCTCGCTGAGGGTGCTTAGACAAAATTTTTTGATAGTTATCAGGTGAAAAAGTAGCAATTTTGTCATCCGAAGCAGCAAGCCTTATTCATCCCTTGACATTTCTTTCCTCGAGCTTACTCCTTATTAACTTCATTCTCTGCTCGAGGTCACTCAGAGGCGGGCTTGAAACTTGGGGATGGGGTTTTGGAAGTGACACGTCATTTGCTCGAAGAACTCATGCTTGTGGTCTGTTTGCGTCCACTTCTTTTCAAAAAAAACCAAGAACGACGTTAAAAAAAATTAGCCATTTTGTAACATCTTTTACATCGTAGACGATGTCATTTATTTTGTCCCACATACTTTCCGCCAAGGGAATACGCGAGTCTTTTGGTACTCTCTTGAGTACTCGGACATTTGAAATGGCTGTTTTAACATAATTGTCTAGCACTAAATCATTACCTATTATTGCTTTATTAACAGATTTTACATCAACACATAAAGGACACTGAAACCATTGGGTTTTCTTCGAGTCGCTAAAAGAAATATTTACACAACTGATATGATACCAACTAGAACAACAATCACATTCTAATCCAATTTATCAGTCCTGAAGGTTTTAAGCGATCTCTGCTTGTACACTCTTTGTTGTTTTTCCTCATCTTGACGCAGCGTAAAGGTAAAAAAAAGGATTTTGACTGGACTTTAGGGGACTGAAATAACCCATGATAAGCGGTTAGTGGGAATTTTACAAATCAGTAAATAAAAAAAATAAAAGATAATTAAATTAATTTATATTTTAAAATCGAATTATAAAAATCAATAACAAGCAACAATCTGACCCGAGCTCAGTAGGTCCAGCGGCGCATCACCAGACTCCTCAAGCCAGTTCCAGTTTCCCACCTCCCCACAGAAAGCCACTTGTGATTTTTCTTCGCCGCTTTTTTGTTGCTTTTGGGTAACTAGGAAAAAGCATCAACGTCATGGCAGAGCCTCCCAATGCTTGTCTTCACCGAATTGCTGTCTTTCTCGGTCGCTGATTTATGCAGTGATGAAACAAAACTTGACACATTTTGCGCAATATTTCTCAGATAGATGTTCCAGCTGCTTAGCAATGTTTTACCACAAGATTTTGGGCATTTCAGCGCAACTGCACAAACAGTAGTCGCCGATACTTTTAATTCATCGCAACTTGAGGATATATTATGTAGGACACTATTTATTTAATCAAATTAATGCTGAAATTTTATGTGATAAAAATTTTTTACGTATTCGACAACAACTATAATCATAATTTGACTTACACTTGTAAACTTGAAAATATTTTTCAAATGGCTAATAAAGTGTTTTTAGCAAGAAGTTTTGAGCTTTTTCGAATATCTAGGAAGGGACCACACTTGTAAATTAGATTTTTGAATGGGATTCACTGAAAATGGCGGAACCATGCCTCTAAACGAGTATACTTCTTTTTAGACGTATTATGGGTAGCGAAAAATCCTTGAGTGAGCCGCGTCTATTAACCGATGAAGAAAATAGAAAACTCGAGCATCAAAAGATTACTTTGTCAGAGCTAAAAATATCTTTACTACAGAAAGAAGCGGCAAAGAATTGGGACAAATTTTACAAAAATAATACAACCAAATTTTTCAAAGACAGACACTGGCTGCTTAGAGAATTTCAGCCCCTGCAAATATTATTAGCATCGAGCGAGCATACAATTTATTTCTTAGAAGTTGGATGTGGAGTTGGGAACGCTTTTTTTCCTCTTATGGAAGCAGCCGGGAGTTCAGTTTTTGGGTTAGCTTGTGATTTTTCATCACGAGCGGTAGATTTCGTTCGCCAAAATGAACAATTCAATACAAATCGAATGTTTGCTTTCACGTGTGATATTGTTCAAGAAAGTATCATCGATAAACTAAGGGTGATTACTTCCGGGATAGACATAATGACAGTATTATTTGTGCTATCAGCACTTGACCCCAATGAGATGCAAAGAGCGCTCAAAAATTTAGCGGATGTTATGAAGTGTGGTGGAAAAGTTTGTGTGCGAGATTACGCCGTCAACGATTACGCAATGATCAGATTTGGAACACGTAACCATAAAATATCAGATCGTTTTTATGTCCGGCAAGATAATACAAAAGCATATTTTTTCTTCATGGAAGAGTTAGAAGCACTGTTTAGGGATGCAGGTTTCAAAACAGAAAGCTTATGCTACAAAGAAGCAAAAACTGAAAATCGCGAGAAACAACTCAGCGTCGACCGATATTTTGTTCAAGCAGTATTCGAAAAACTGTGAATTGGTTTTCACTGTACTTCCAAGTACTTTTTTGGATGCAAATGAGAGGTATTTTCGTGGATATTGGAAGATGGTCCTTCAATCAGTAGTCAATAATGGTCGTAGCTTTGTCTTATTTACGGAAGTTGTAGATCGGTGTCCTGTTTTTAACTCCATTTTTTATCAGAAACAGCTAAAGTAACGTCAAGCTTTGCTTTCAATTATATTTTAGAACGACGAGTATTAGTAGAAGTTGGAGTATAGACTTCAAGGTAACACCAAGAACAAAATTTTAAAAAGATGTTGCTTAAAGGTTGTGTTATGTCGCCTAAAAAATCCACAAGAGGGCGTCGATCTAATAATGTTTCCAATAGCACACCCGCTCAATCTGCTGGCGACAATGAATCATCATCATCAGCTACCGAAGTTAAAAATGACTCATCGAAGAATGAGGAGAACATATCACCTTCAACAGTGAGTGGAGACCAGAATAGAGCAATTTGTAATGATAAAGAGAATATCGAAGGCGCTACTAATGAGGGTGCTCAGGAGAAAGGAAAAAAGCACGATGCAAGGGGAGTTGCAGATTTAGAGAGAGTGACCGATTACGTTGAAGAGAAAGAGTTTGGAGCGGGATCACAAAGTGCATCAGGTATATCTATCTATCTATCAATACATTATTTAATTGGCGTTTCACTTAAGACATGTTTAAGAAGTCCGCTTGTTGACGTATTTAAGCTTTTTGAACGTATTATTATTTTTTGCATGTTTAAGCTATATCGTATATTGTAATGCATAAGAAATTTCACATGGCACATTTTTAAGAAGTTGCTATGTTGGTCTGTTAAATTGACGTTTTAAAATCTGTTGTAGGGCGAATGCTTTAACTCTACATTTTTTCAATACTCGCAACGTAAAACTATCAAATTTTTGTTTCACAATTGATTTAACTAATTTTTTTTCTCAACCTTATAGTGGGGTGCTTTCGGGGTATACCCAGGGCTAGCATATCTGGCGTCCAAGTATGACTGCTGGAATCCTTTTGATTTTCAAGATATCGCGTTTCTTATGATTTTTTAATAAACAAAAAAGATAGACATAAAATAAAGTAACTGAACTTAAATTTCTCAACCCTATACTGGCGGGCTGTCAGAGTGAATCAGGGTTTGTGAATCTGGCGTCAAAGGATGACTAGTCAAACCCTTATGGTTTTCGAGATATGGCGTTTTTTTATGATTTTTTCATTTTTTTCAAAAAAAGTTTTGATAAAAATAAAGTTACCGAAATGGAATTTTTCAACCCTATAGTGGCGTGCTGTCAGGGTACACTCAGAGGGTAACCAATCTGGCGTTCAAGTATTACTGCTCAAATCTTTTTAATTTTCGAGAAATGGCTTCTTTATGATGTTTTCATTTTTTCAAAAAAAAAACTTGGATGTGAAATTAAGTAAAGGAACTTGAATTTTTTAACCCTATTGAGGCGGGCTATCAGCTTGAATTTCTCACATCTTTTGTGGCGTGCTGTCAGGGTACACTCAGGGGTTGCGATTCTGGCATTCAAGTATGACGGCTCAAAACTTTCTCATGTTCGATATATGGCGTTTTTTTTATTTTATTTATAATTTAAAAGAAAAGTTGGATGTAAAAAAACTAAGCGAACTTTAAGTTCTGAACTCTAAGGCGCAGTCCTGTCAGTTACGCGAGGGCGTTCCAAATCTTCCCTCTAAATCTGACTGATCAAATTTTAATTTTGTTTCTCGAGATTTGGCGATTTTTACGTTTTTTTTTCAAAAAAAGTTTTGATAAAAATAAAGTTACCGAAATGGAATTTTTCAACCCTATAGTGGCGTGCTGTCAGGCTACACTCAGGGGGTTACCAATCTGGCGTTCAAGTATTACTGCTCAAATCCTTTTAATTTTCGAGATAAGGCTTTTTTATGTTTCGTTTTTTTTTCAAAAAAACTTAGATGTGAAATTAAGTAAAGGAACTTGAATTTTTAACCCTATTGTGGCGTGCTATCAGCTTGAAATCAGGGGTTACCAATATGGCGTCAAATTATGAATGCTCAAATTTTTTTGGGTTTATAGATATGGCGTTTTTTCTGAATTTTTAATTTTTTTTTCATAAATAAAAACAGATATAATATACATAGACCGAACTTCTCAACCCTATAGTGGCGTGTTGTCAGATTGAACTCTGGGGTTGTGAATATGGCGTCAGAGGATGTTTGCTCAAATTCTTTTGGTTTTCGAGAAATGGCGATTTTTACGTTTTTTTTTTTCAAAAAAAGTTTTGATAAAAATAAAGTTACCGAAATGGAATTTTTCAACCCTATAGTGGCGTGCTGTCAGGGTACACTCAGAGGGTAACCAATCTGGCGTTCAAGTATTACTGCTCAAATCTTTTTAATTTTCGAGAAATGGCTTCTTTATGATGTTTTCATGTTTTCAAAAAAAAAACTTGGATGTGAAATTAAGTAAAGGAACTTGAATTTTTTAACCCTATTGTGGCGGGCTATCAGCTTGAATTTCTCACATCTTTTGTGGCGTGCAGTCAGGGTACACTCAGGGGTTGCGATTCTGGCATTCAAGTATGACGGCTCAAAACTTTCTCATGTTCGATATATGGCGTTTTTTTTATTTTATTTATAATTTAAAAGAAAAGTTGGATGTAAAAAAACTAAGCGAACTTTAAGTTCTGAACTCTAAGGCGCAGTCCTGTCAGTTACGCGAGGGCGTTCCAAATCTTCCCTCTAAATCTGACTGATCAAATTTTAATTTTGTTTCGCGAGATTTGGCAATTTTTACGTTTTTTTTTCAAAAAAAGTTTTGATAAAAATAAAGTTACCGAAATGGAATTTTTCAACCCTATAGTGGCGTGCTGTCAGGCTACACTCAGGGGGTTACCAATCTGGCGTTCAAGTATTACTGCTCAAATCCTTTTAATTTTCGAGATAAGGCTTTTTTATGTTTCGTTTTTTTTTCAAAAAAACTTAGATGTGAAATTAAGTAAAGGAACTTGAATTTTTAACCCTATTGTGGCGTGCTATCAGCTTGAAATCAGGGGTTACCAATATGGCGTCAAATTATGAATGCTCAAATTTTTTTGGGTTTATAGATATGGCGTTTTTTCTGAATTTTTAATTTTTTTTTCATAAATAAAAACAGATATAATATACATAGACCGAACTTCTCAACCCTATAGTGGCGTGTTGTCAGATTGAACTCTGGGGTTGTGAATATGGCGTCAGAGGATGTTTGCTCAAATTCTTTTGGTTTTCGAGAAATGGCGATTTTTACGTTTTTTTTTCAAAAAAAGTTTCGATAAAAATAAAGTTACCGAAATGGAATTTTTCAACCCTATAGTGGCGTGCTGTCAAGGTACACTCAGAGGGTTACCAATCTGGCGTTCAAGTATTACTGCTCAAATCCTTTTAATTTTCGAGATATGGCTTTTTTATGATGTTTTCAATTTTTTCAAAAAAATAAACTTGGATGTGAAATTAAAAAGGAACTTGAATTTTTTTAACCCTATTGTGGCGTTCTATCAGCTTGAAATCAGGGGTTACGAATATGGCGTCAAAGTATGAATGCTCAAATTTTTTGGGTTTATAGATATGGCATTTTTTCTGAATTTTAAATTTTTTTTCATAAAAAAAACATATATAAAATACATAAACCGAACTTCTCAACCCTATAGTGGCGTGTTGTCAGATTGAACTGTGGGGTTGTGAATATGGCGTCAGAGGATATTTGCTCAAATTCTTTTGGTTCTCGAGAAATGGCGTTTTTTATGATTTTTTCATTTTTTTAAAAAAATTAGATATAAAATTAAGTAACCGAGTTTGAATTTCTCACATCTTTTGTGGCGTGCTGTCAGGTTACACTCAGGGGTTGCGATTCTGGCATTCAAGTATGACGGCTCAAAACTTTCTGTTGTTCGATATATGGCGTTTTTTTTATTTTATTTATAATTTAAAAGAAAAGTTGGATGTAAAAAAACTAAGCGAACTTTAAGTTCTGAACTCTAAGGCGCAGTCCTGTCAGATACGCGTTGGCGTTCCAAATCTTCCCTCTAAATCTGACTGATCAAATTTTAATTTTGTTTCTCGAGATTTGGCGATTTTTACGTTTTTTTTTCAAAAAAAGTTTTGATAAAAATAAAGTTACCGAAATGGAATTTTTCAACCCTATAGTGGCGTGCTGTCAGGGTACACTCAGGGGGTTACCAATCTGGCGTTCAAGGATTACTGCTCAAATCGTTTTAATTTTCGAGATAAGGCTTTTTTATGTTTCGTTTTTTTTTCAAAAAAACTTAGTTGTGAAATTAAGTAAAGGAACTTGAATTTTTAACCCTAATGTGGCGTGCTATCAGCTTGAAATCAGGGGTTACCAATATGGCGTCAAATTATGAATGCTCAAATTTTTTTGGGTTTATAGATATGGCGTTTTTTCTGAATTTTTATTTCATAAAAAAAACAGATATAAAACACATAAATCGAACTTCTCAACCCTATAGTGGCGTGTTGTCAGATTGAACTCTGGGGTTGTGAATATGGCGTCAGAGGATGTTTGCTCAAATTCTTTTGGTTTTCGAGAAATGGCGTTTTTTTAAGATTTTTTAAATTTTTTTCTCAAAAAAATTAGATATAAAATTAAGTAACCGAATTTGAATTTCTCACATCTATTGTGGTGTGCTGTCAGGGTACACTCAGGGGTTGCGATTCTGGCATTCAAGTATGACGGCTCAAAACCTTCTGTTGTTCGATATATGGCGTTTTTGTTTATTTTAATTTAAAAGAAAAGTTAGATGTAAAAAAACTAAGCGAACTTTAAGTTCTGAACTCTAAGGCGGAGTCCTGTCAGTTACGCGTTGGCGTTCCAAATCTTCCCTCTAAATCTGAATGATCAAATTTTAATTTTTTTCTCGAGATTTGGCGATTTTTACTTTTTTTCAATTTTTCAAAAGAACGTAGATATAACAAAAACGAACTTGAAATTCTCAAACCAGGTATCACTGCTCATATCGTTTTGGTTTTCGAGATATGGCGTTCTTTATTTTTATTTTTTTTTTTCAAAAAATAGTTAGTTGTCAAAAAGTAACCAAAATTGAATTTCTCAACCCTATAGTTGTGTACTTTCAGTTTACTCTCAGGAGTTCAAAATCTGCCATCCAAGTATCACTGTTCGAATCTTTTTTGGTCTTTATGACTCCTGTTTTTGTATGATTTCCTTTTTTGTTTAAAACAAAATTACAAAACAGTATAAAACAGCATAAAACAAAACAGTAACAAAATTAATGAAACTTGAATTTCTCAACCCTATGTTGGTGTGCTGTCGGGGTACACCCAGGGATTGCAATTTTTCTCTCCAAATGTGACTGCTCAATACCTATTGATTTTCGAGATGTGGACTTTTTCTATGATTTTTCCATTTTTGTTCCAAAAAACTTGAATTAGAAAAAAGCTAAAAGATCTTGAAATTTTCCACCCTCTAATGGTGGGGTTCTTTCAGGTTACATTCAGGGTTAATCTCAGGATACTGTCTGGGCCTCTATCTACTACTATCTGGGTACAAATCAGGTGGTACTGTCAAAGCCTCTACTTTTTACTGCTCAAATCTTTCGTGTTTCCTAAATATGGCGTTTCTCATG